GCCCCAGGAGAAGGCTCTGACTCCGTTCTTGCCTGTGCCCCAGGAGAAGGCTCTGACTCCGTTCTTGCCTGTGCCCCAGGAGAAGGCTCTGACTCCGTTCTTGCCTGTGCCCCAGGAGAAGGCTCTGACTCCGTTCTTGCCTGTGCCCCAGGAGAAGGCTCTGACTCCGTTCTTGCCTGTGCCCCAGGAGAAGGCTCTGACTCCGTTCTTGCCTGTGCCCCAGGAGAAGGCTCTGACTCCGTTCTTGCCTGTGCCCCAGGAGAAGGCTCTGACTCCGTTCTTGCCTGTGCCCCAGGAGAAGGCTCTGACTCCGTTCTTGCCTGTGCCCCAGGAGAAGGCTCTGACTCCGTTCTTGCCTGTGCCCCAGGAGAAGGCTCTGACTCCGTTCTTGCCTGTGCCCCAGGAGAAGGCTCTGACTCCGTTCTTGCCTGTGCCCCAGGAGAAGGCTCTGACTCCGTTCTTGCCTGTGCCCCAGGAGAAGGCTCTGACTCCGTTCTTGCCTGTGCCCCAGGAGAAGGCTCTGACTCCGTTCTTGCCTGTGCCCCAGGAGAAGGCTCTGACTCCGTTCTTGCCTGTGCCCCAGGAGAAGGCTCTGACTCCGTTCTTGCCTGTGCCCCAGGAGAAGGCTCTGACTCCGTTCTTGCCTGTGCCCCAGGAGAAGGCTCTGACTCCGTTCTTGCCTGTGCCCCAGGAGAAGGCTCTGACTCCGTTCTTGCCTGTGCCCCAGGAGAAGGCTCTGACTCCGTTCTTGCCTGTGCCCCAGGAGAAGGCTCTGACTCCGTTCTTGCCTGTGCCCCAGGAGAAGGCTCTGACTCCGTTCTTGCCTGTGCCCCAGGAGAAGGCTCTGACTCCGTTCTTGCCTGTGCCCCAGGAGAAGGCTCTGACTCCGTTCTTGCCTGTGCCCCAGGAGAAGGCTCTGACTCCGTTCTTGCCTGTGCCCCAGGAGAAGGCTCTGACTCCGTTCTTGCCTGTGCCCCAGGAGAAGGCTCTGACTCCGTTCTTGCCTGTGCCCCAGGAGAAGGCTCTGACTCCGTTCTTGCCTGTGCCCCAGGAGAAGGCTCTGACTCCGTTCTTGCCTGTGCCCCAGGAGAAGGCTCTGACTCCGTTCTTGCCTGTGCCCCAGGAGAAGGCTCTGACTCCGTTCTTGCCTGTGCCCCAGGAGAAGGCTCTGACTCCGTTCTTGCCTGTGCCCCAGGAGAAGGCTCTGACTCCGTTCTTGCCTGTGCCCCAGGAGAAGGCTCTGACTCCGTTCTTGCCTGTGCCCCAGGAGAAGGCTCTGACTCCGTTCTTGCCTGTGCCCCAGGAGAAGGCTCTGACTCCGTTCTTGCCTGTGCCCCAGGAGAAGGCTCTGACTCCGTTCTTGCCTGTGCCCCAGGAGAAGGCTCTGACTCCGTTCTTGCCTGTGCCCCAGGAGAAGGCTCTGACTCCGTTCTTGCCTGTGCCCCAGGAGAAGGCTCTGACTCCGTTCTTGCCTGTGCCCCAGGAGAAGGCTCTGACTCCGTTCTTGCCTGTGCCCCAGGAGAAGGCTCTGACTCCATTCCTGCCTGTGCCCCAGCCCGGGTTAGAACCTCCGTTCAGCCAAACTGCCCTCCAGAGGGTGGCCGTACCTACGTAAGATCGGCCAGACGGGGTCAGACCAAAGGTCCATCCAGCCCAGTAGCCTGTCTGCCCACAGTGGCCAATCCCAGGTGCCCCAGAGAGAGTGAACCGAACAGGTAATGATCAAACCACCTCTCTCCTGCCATCCATCTCCACCCTCTGACAAACAGGCTAGGGACACCGTTCCTTACCCATCATGGCTAATAGCCATTAATGGACTTAAATTCATGGAGCTTATCTAGTTCTCTTTTAAACCCTGTTACAGTCCTAGCCTTCACAACCTCCTCAGGCAAGGAGTTCCACAGATTGACTGTGTGCTGTGTGAAGAACTTCCTTTTATTTGTTTTAAACCTGCTGCCCATGAGTTTCATTTGGTGGCCCCTTGTTCTTATATTATGGGAACAAGTAAATAACTTTTCCTTATTCACCTTCTCCACACCACTCACGATTTTATAGACCTCTGTCATATCCCCTCCCCTGTTTCCTCTTTTCCAAGCTGAAAAGTCCCAGTCGCTTTAATCTCTCCTCATATGGGACCCGTTCCAAACCCCTCAGCATTTTAGTTGCCCTTCTCTGAACCTTTTCTAATGCTGGTATCTCTTTTGAGACAAGGAGCCCACCCTCTGTACCTAATGGCTGGGGCACTGGGCAGAGCCAGGGGATCTGGGATCCGTTCCCAGCTCTGCCTCTGACCTGCTGCCTCCCCTCTGCTTCCCCAGAGCAAGGGCTGTCCTGGGCGCAGCACAATGGGACCCTGCAAGCGGCAAGTGGCGCCTGCAGCCGAGATGGCACAAGGCAGGACTCTCATCTGTGTGCAATGGACTCAGGGGCTGGGGCTGCTCAGACTGATGCCAGGGAAAGCGACCAGTTCCAGACCTGCACCAGGAGCAGACTTGGGCTCTCGGTGTCGCTGCACCTCAGAGCTGACTCCTTGCTTTTGTCCAGCGCCCGGCACACGAGGTCCTGGCCCACGCCTGGGCTGCAAGGCACTCCCATAGCCACCCAACAAACGGCGATAGCTCCTCTCCTCCCTCCTGTGCCTCCACTGGATCTGCAGGGTTGGTGGGACCAGCGCATGCTCAGCCCCTTTGCCAATCCGAGCTCCAGGGCACCAAACTCCACAGGGCCTGTCTCACTCCCAAGTGGAGTAACCGCTCGTCCTACCGCTGATCTTACTGGCCCCGTGCAAGCTGCTGGAGCGGCAGTGCGGGTCTGTGAAATGGGAAGGAGTGGGAGGGATGAGAATCATTTGTGATCACAACAAAGCCCATCAGGGCAGGGCGGCAGCAGCCCGGGGCCCAGGAGGATAAACGAGGCCTGAAGTTTGCAGCCTGGTCCTTTGCTTTTTCTAGTATGCAAGGGAGAAAGGACAGAACGTGCAGCAGCTCCGTGCCGAGGACAATTTTCCCTTTAGAGCAGCGGTTTCCAAACGCGGGGTCGCGGAATGTCGGGCACTGGGCCGTGTTGCTGCAGGGGGATCAGGTGACCAGAGTGGGGCGGAGGGGGGGGCTATGGCAGCTCCGGGAGCACCCAGAGGGTTAGGGTTAGGGCTCTACGCACTGCCCCGAGCGCTAGCTCCACACTCCCATGGGCTGGGAACCTGCTGCGGCTGCTTCTAGGCGCAGCAGGGTCGGCAGGGCCAGGAGAGGCAGGAAGCTGCCTTAGCCCCCCTGCTGCACCCCTGACCAGGAGCTGCTCAAGGTGAGCCCCTTCTGCCCCAGCCCTGACCCCCCCAAAGCCAGAGGCCCCATCCTCACCCCACACTCCAGTGAACTTATCTTGGGTCGCGGCATCAACAATTTTCTTCAACTGGGTCATGAGAGAAAAGTTTGAAGCCGCAGCTCTAGAGGCGGCGGCTGGGGGCTAAGGGCCCCTCTGGTGGCTGCGTGTGTAACTCCAGCTGATTGTAAAGTCCACGAGGAGTCGATTTTGGATGGAAAATGGCTTTTGACAAAAGGAAATGATCTTCCCAGCTCTTGTACAGTGTTGGGGTGCAAGGGAGTCGGCGGGTTCTACATGGAGAGCATTTGGCTTGTTGGCTGAGAACCAGTTCTTAGGGGGCCGCCGTACCCCCCATTTTTTCCAAAAGACAAATGTTGACCACAATGAAGTTTTCCACAGGGAAATAATTTCCAGACTAGCTGCAGCTGAACCACTGTGTGCAGAGACGCATCTGTCCCCATCCCTTGCGGGACACTTCTCTGACCCCAACGCTTCCTCCCCCCACCACGCAGGGAGCATGAGAGGCACGTGAATGCCTAGAGAAAACAGCACTGGGGGGTGGGGGGGGAGAGTCCTGAGCCTTGGGCAGGGGGCTGGAACAATGTG